CTCTCCTTTCCCCACCCAGAGACAAACTTTTCCACAGAGAGGAAAGTGAAAATGAAAAGAAAAGAGGAAAAAAACTATTTATTTAAAATTATAAAAACTAAAAAAAAAGAAAACCTGTGGAATCAGCTGTTAGATCCCTGTAGTGGTTTGAATGAATTTAATGGGAGCAAAACACTCCCAAGTTCCAGCAAAGCTCCCCCACTCTCCTTTCCCCACCCGGGTCCCAGAGACAAACTTTTCCACAGAGAGGAAAGTGGAAAGAAAAAGGAAAAAAAACCTATTTATTTAAAATTATAAAAACAAAAAAAAAAGAAAAGAAAACCATGGTTTGAATGGATTTAATGGGAGCAAAACACTCCCAAGTCCAGCAAACCCCTCTCCTTTCTCCACCCGGGTCTCAAACTTTTCCACAGAGAGGAAAGTGAAAAGAAAAGGGGAAAAAAACTATTTCTTTAAAATTATAAAAATAAAAAAAAGAAAACCTGTGGGATCAGCTGTTAGATCCCTGTAGTGGTTTGAATGAATTTAATGGGAGCAAAACACTCCCAAGTTCCAGCAAACCCCTCTCCTTTCCCCACCCAGGTCCCAGAGACAAACTTTTCCACAGAGAGGAAAGTGAAAAGAAAAAGGAAAAAAAAAACCTATTTATTTAAAATTATAAAAGCAAAAAAAATAAAAAGAAAACCAGTGGAATCAGCTTTAGATCCCTGTAGTGGTTTGAATGAATTTAATGGGAGCAAAACATTCCCAAGTTCCAGCAAACCTCCCCGCCTCTCCTTTCCCCACCCAGAGACAAACTTTTCCACAGAGAGGAAAGTGAAAAGAAAAAGGAAAAAAAAAAACTATTTATTTAAAATTATAAAAACCAAAAAAAAACCTATTTATTTAAAATTATAAAAACAAAAAAAAAGAAAACCTGTGGAATCAGCTGTTAGATCCCTGTAGTGGTTTGAATGAATTTAATGGGAGCAAAACACTCCCAAGTTTTCTTTTTTTTTGTTTTTATAATTTTAAATAAATAAAAACCAGATTTTAGTTCTGGTTTTAAGCTGTTTGATGGTTTTATGGTGGTTGGGAAGGGAGTTGTGGGTTTGGGAGAGGTTAGGATTAGGAGAGAAATGTTTGTTGGGAGTGTGGGGTGACTCGTGTGAGGGAGTGAAAAACCTGAAGAAAAAACCTCCAAAATCAAACAAAAAACCAAACAAAAATGAACCAAAAATCCCACAAAAACCAAACCCCGCCAACAAGCAAAAAACAAACAACAAAACCAAAAACCAAACAACAAAACCAAACAACAAAACCAAAAACCAATCAACAAAACCAAAAACCAATCAACAAAACCAAAAACCAAAAAAAAACCAACAAAAAACAAAAATCCCACAAAAACAAAAAAAATCCAATCAAAACAAAAAACAACCAAAAAACCCAACCAAAACAAAAAAAACCAAAACAACCAAACATAAAAAAAAACCAAATAAATATCCAAACAAAAAAAACAACCAACAAAAACCAAAAGCCCCACAAAAACGCAAAAAACCAAACATCCAACACCACCAAAGGATTTCTCCTCCATTTTTTTATCCCTAAAGATGGAAGGCTCCAACATTTGAAACCT